GAAGATGAGGAAAAGAGAGAACGCTACAAGAAAATGGCGATAGGGTCGTATTGATCGGAACTTGGCAAAATGCCAGGTCAGGACTCACCGCCGCGCCACGCGGACAGGTCGCCGCGCGCGGTGACCTAGTTTCGAGCGCGGCGGTGACTCCTGGCCGTCTCCCCTTTTACCCACAACTCAGCATTCTTGTGATAACAGTCACATAGAATGTCATTTCGGTCCATAAAAACGAAAGATATCTGTTTCTTTCTGAATATGGTACTAATAACCTTGGGAGGAGCAGTTAACACTCCTTGTGGAAAACAGGGACTAAGGTCATCCGAGCAGAGCTATCCCCCCACCCCCAGGTTATTTGTGCCGCACTTTCATCTGAAGAACGTATCCCGTGGTAACCTTTATTCCATCCAACCTATTACTTCTGGTGCTGTTTTATAGTGAAATTTCTGGCTCAGCCAACGTTCCTGCAAATTTGCTTCCCACAAAGAAACGAAAACATTTGAAAACTCCTAAGAATGTGAAAATGTGAAAAAAGTTGGTGTGATTGAAGTAAACGACTCACTACTAGTACTATTGCGTCGATTTCCGGTGTCCGGTTCCAGTTGCAGCAGGTCAAGATGCATGAAATTTCGGCGCGAACGTGGTTGTGAGTGGGATGAGGGGGAGGAGGAGGAGAGGAGCACCACCTGGCAGCACATCTGTTTCCCTTTCATGAAACACGATAAGAGCACATTAGAGATTATGCATTGTGCGCGAGATTATCCCTCGGCGGCTGTGGTCTTCTGAGGGATAAACCTAAAAAATTTGAAACCCTCAATGTGGCGCTAACGTAGTTGTGCTGGAAAAGGGCACCTGGCCGGCCTGCCCCAACCCAAGCACTGTTAGCGAAAGGGATGCCATTGAGTGGACCTCCTCCCCAACTACGTTAGTGGCTTTTAGAAATTTCCAGTCTTGAGAGAAAACGAACCATCGAAAGTGTTGAGAGTGAAGCTCGGAGTCGTTCATCAGTACCTTTTCTGGGACTGATTAACACCTCAAAGCCGCCATGTGCCTGAAATCTACGTTATTTCTCCACACTTTCGATCCGCACCATTCATTAATTCACAGGACTCTCCCCTGGTAACACAGAATGACCCTCTCTCCAGGTCATTCAGATTTGATTGTTTTAGCTGAAAATTCTTCAGGGCGTGTGCCTCTAGTACATTCCATCAGTCAAATAATCGAAATATCGATTAGAATAAAATTTCGGCTCTCATGAACAGGGGTGGGACAGGGCCAAGGTAGGGCAGGACGTTGAAAAGCGGGTCGAGGATTCGACGACGGGATCGTATTGGGCTGATGAACATCTTCTGATTGTTGGTTTGTTTCGTTCCAAGCGTGCACATCCCTGCCCCCCCCCTCTTCTCTTGGATTGTAAGGGTGGCACCAGAGGGCGGAGATCGTTTTGAGAAAAAGTTTCCGCGATTGAACCAAGGCCTACCCATTTTGACAGGAATGCATACGCACGATTACCAAAGAGGAAATCAAAGTGGAAAACATGCATTGAAATCAATGCAAAAAGCGCAAGGCGGGAGGTAAGGCGTGTAGCGGAATCGTTTCTCATGGAGTTCAGCACTAAACCTTGGATTTCACTGGAATTGCATCTACAAATTCAAATTCAAATTCAA